TAGCACTGACTCGGTAAAAGGTGAATTCTATCACCAATTGAACGAGCTTGTTTGTCTCAGAAAGAGTAACGGATACTGTGATGCTTGGTGGAGATTTGAACCCACAGGTTGGAAATTGTCCACTAGTGAGCTGCGTCTGGGTGACTAACACGGTGCAAGTTCCCGTAATGATAACGGTGAGCGGTTGCTGCACCTGTATGAAGGTGCTCGTCGTTCTATCGTGAGCACTAACTTCCGCCACAGCATCCGCAGAAGGGTGACATGGCGTCCACCAGCCTCGGACCAGCCATGGAAGCAAATCGATCACATCGCGATAAGTCACACCCAGAGGCTCTGTCCAAAAGTGTCGCTCGATTCGGAGCACGAGCGTGGACTCCGACTACGCACTTGTATGTGCCGACCTGCGCGTACGTTTTGGCGGACGGCCACAACGACGCGGTGAGCGTATAGATACTTGCCAACTGGCGAAGCCAGATGTTCTGAATGCGTATCAAAATACGCTCGCATGCGGATTCAGTAATCGCGCAGTGAACAGAGTCGAAGATCACTGGTCGCATATCGGCCAAGCGTTATTACCGACAGACATGCTATCACGTGGCAAATCAAATCGCCAATCTGATGTTGGGCCCGTTCGCAGTCTCTGGAACTTCAGCATGCTATAGCTCCTTTATGTGTTACAGCGGTGGCGAAAGACATGAAACAGTAACTGATTGTAGACATAAACAAACAACTTGCCACAAGTGCGGCTAGGTCAGACATCTCGCGCGCGTTTGCCGCTCAACAGTGCTACCACGTTGTGTATCTTATCCTCCACCAAATAGTGTACGGACAGTACAGAATTCCGATGAGCCCATACCTTAAATGATTTCCCATATTACCACATCACGTGTGGGCGGAATATCTCCATACACTGTAGAACCTGAGATTGAAGGTTAACCTGTGCGCCTAGAGATAGATACGGGAGCCTCGGTTACGTTAGTCAACAATTGTACACTACCCGAACTGCCACTGGTCCGGACACAGTTTTTACGTTCTTACGTTTTACGTTCTGATACGGGTGAATCGCTCGAGGTATTGGGGATGTGTGAAGTAAAGGTTATTCCTTGTTGTTAACACTAATGGCCTGAACTTACTTGGTAGAAACTGGCTCAAACATATGCCGGAACTATTTCAAACCGTCGAGAAAGTGGAGCATATTTCAGACATTCCTTCATTGGTGAAAATATACGTTTATGTGTTTGATGAAACATCACCCGGTAAATTAGGTGATTTCAAAATCTCTTTCAATATCAGACCGAACGCCCAGACTAAATTTTTCAAAGCAAAGAGCATACCTTTTGCTGTCCGTCATAAAGCTGAGTTAGAGCTGGAGCGTCCCAAAAATGATGGAATATTATCGCCAGTAAACCAATCATCTTGGTCCACACCAATTGTACCAGTACAAAAACTCGATGGCACCGTGCGTATCTGGTGACTACAAGTTGACTGCTAACCAAGCCGCGACGTCAGAACACTATTCTATCCTGCAGGTAGATGGCTTGTAAGCAACTCTGTCAGGTGGACGGAAGTTTTCCAAACTTGATTTAAGCCACGCTTACTCCCAAGTAGAGCTGTATGAATCCGAGAGGAAGATGGCTGGCCGCATCCGGTTTAGGAGTTGCCTGTCACTGTGGCCTACATAGGACAGCCATAGGACGCCTGTGCCTAGAGAGGGACCATGGGTGGCTTGCGTTGCACCACCCACAGCTCCAACCACACACCCCATATCCGGTGTAAACCCGAAGGAATAAGACCAGGAGGCATGTGGATGGGAGCCACATTTCATCAACGGAGCCGGCCCACACTCCTACACAGGCAAACACAAGCACGCTGTATTTGGGAACCAAGCGCACACAAGGCGGTAGCTGGACCGTAGTCCGCTCCACATTGAGTGCATGGAACCACTCTTCAAAACTAGCACGGCCACAAGAACCGTGCATCCTGTCCCCACCAGCACCGACCAACTGTCTCCTGGAGCCAGTATGGAAGAGGTAGTGGGCACCATGTCAATATGCACATCAAGCGCAACCACACCGGGGATGTCAAGCAACAGCCAATCACTTGAAACGACGACGGCAAATAAAATAAATCGAATAACGCATACAGATATGGTGACATAACTTCACTAAATGATCATATGAAATAAATTCGTTAGGAAAAAATCCGCGATAAGTTCAATAGGTCATAAAATATATTTTAGGAAAATGCCACATACGTGAAAATGCTCAGGTAGATATTAATATGAGATAAAATAGCATTAGGACAATATAGCAAACCCACCAACTGAAATAGACAGCACACAAGCACGCAGTTAGTAAATCGAATGCAGTGTACCTACCAACGCTGCGCCGATTCTACTTACGTTCTCAACAGGACTGGTCGTCGTTTCAGTGTTGGCGCCGGGTGGCCTCGCTCATGGCTCACTAGGCCTGCCTGACTCAGGCACTAGCGACCGCATGTGCTACAGCGCCGTACGCTCGATGTCGATGGAGTACAACCCATCGGCGCCTGCCACTTTGCAATTTCCGCTACTTCTCTGCATGCACCAGGGATTTCTCTTGCGCCTCGCAACGGCCTTCGTGATCAGATCGCGCCACACACGCCGATCAACCGCTTTCGATTCCCATGACCTGCAATCAAGATTAGAACGTGATAGGCTCACTGATCATGTCTTGGTAACGTAATTTTGGTTCCACCATATGCCGCTTCCCAACACTCAACTGACTAAATATTAGCTGTTTCAGTATCCGAGTCGGATCCATACGGCTCACATGACCGAGCCACCTAAAGTGTCTCAGCGAAAATATGCAGTCCAATGCATACATTCCACTTGGGCGCAACACTTCCGTGTCCGCAACTCTGTCGCACCAACTGATGCGCAAAATCCGTCGCAAACACTGTTGATGGAATCGCTCGAGATATCGCACATCCTGCCATGACATCGTCCAGGTTTCGCTGCCGTATAGAAGAATGGACCGCAACACTGATTTGTACACCATCAGCTTCGTGCCAACGGTAAACTGATGGTTGTTCCACACATGATACTCTAGTTTCCCGAATGCCGCCGCTGCCCTCGACACGCGGATACTAAGCTCACTGTGTAGCTGCTGGTCAGTCGAAACCACACCCCCAAAGTAGCAGAAGCGGGAGGTTGTTTCCAATACTTCAACACCAATGCTGATTCGCGGCAATATTGAAGATTGCACCTCCGGTGAAGGCTGAAAGAGACAGACAGTTTTGCTTGTGTTGATGGTGAGTCCGAATTTGGCCGCTGTCGAAGCCAGAACACTAGTCATATGCTGCAACTCATCCGCGCTGTGTGCAAACAACGCACAGTCGTCAGCAAACAGCAACCTACGGATAGTTGTCTCACAGACTAGAGTTCTCACACCGAAATGACGGATGTCCAGCAACCCGCCATCAATACGACGCTCTACATGAACACCGTAAGCACAAGCGGCATCAAAAGCACAAGACATCATTGCATGAAGACATATATTAAACAGGGCAGGAGCTAAGACACAGACTTGCTTCATACCAGAGAGAATTGCAAAGCCATCCGAGGTCTCTCCACTCAGCTGCACCCTCGCTCGCATACCACTGTGCAGACATTCAATTAAACTTACAAATGTACTCGGACAACTAAACATACCAAACACCAGCCACAATGCCTCGCGGTTCACCGTATCAAATGCCTTGGTGAAATCAACAGACAGCGAGTACAACGACTGGTGTCGTTCTCTACACTTCTCCTGTAACGGAAGAGCCGCAAACACCATATCGGTGGTGCTGCGACACGAACGGAATCGATATTGCTCGCCCGCCACGCTCGGTTCCACAACCTGACTGACGAGGCAGTTGAGCAGGTACGGAAACGTGGAAACAGCGCTTTTAATGTGCATGCAGGACATCTATTGCTATGATAACGTTTGCTCAACTGATGATAGAACGGGTCAAGCGACAGGATATGTGCATCAGAAGTGATCCATGTTGCAACATAAGCGACGTCATCAAACACAGGCACGCAAAGTAACGGATCCAAGAGTCTCGGAACCGGGACGCATTTGGCGCTAGGTAAGTAGTACATCTATGCGTTGGCGTCGAACTTGGCACTGGAGGAAGTAGTAGACAAAAAAAGCAGATGGTGTCGGAAGAATAGTAAAGCCGAAGCTACGAAAATCCCTACCGCCGCAATTTAGTAATGGACGGTGTGGAACTAAAAAAGCATTGAAGACTGCTATAAATGCGGGGTATCGATGGATAAAGTTCACTTGGATGCAGTCTGGAAAAAGAGTAAGGATTTGCTTAACAGGCGAACTCTAGCCCTGTGTAACAGATATGGATAAAACGAGTGTTCTGAAACAAAAACGATCCTGCTACCACAGGTATAGCCATCATGCTGATAATTGCTGGTGTGCATGCGTGAGGACAGGAAGCAATCAGAATTGGATTCATGTTCCGATTGGAACAGTGCTACTGAACTATGGCAGCAAACGTTTGCTAGTGATTTCATGAACCACACGGACTACTCGAAGCCAACCTTTCCCCCATATGTGGTGAGCGGGTTCAATTTATTACCCCGGTTATCCATAGCTGCGAATGCCGGACCTAGACAAGGGCTATGGCTCTCAGACAATTAACGACGACATCAAGAGTAACCGTGGCACAGAGTCTCCATTTCCACTTAGCAATTTATACACCAAGAAAGGCTAAGTTCAGTAACGTTGTCGGATACAACTCCGAGCAGAAGTCGATGAAAGAGCAAATGTGAGACTTACGTAAGATCTCCCCAATTTTTTACAGTGTCTACTTCCTCCATTTGGCACTGACATCGAGTGGAATAATGATCGCGAATAACCACCTAGTCGACATACTTACGCGTTATGTTGCGCGCCCGGTCATAGTGATTTTGGACAATCGTTGAAAGTGTGAGGGTCAATGGAGCAGCAGATACCACTTACCCTCACGACGCAATATCACCGGGTTCGGCTCCAGATCTCCCGCCAGACGTTCGTATTTCATATGAGATGCAGGCGCGAGGACGTTGCCCGAATCTGTGGCAGGTTGAGCAAAGGCACCGCTGTGTTGTTGAACGATTTCTTGCATCTCATCTTCCGTATGGTGCGCACGTGGGCAACACGCTGGATGATTCTGACACCAAGTGTGCCAAAATCTGTCCAATTTGGGGTTGAAATACATCAGCACGACGTATGCACCATAGAATAGCAGCAGGAACAGCGCCTCGTACCTACGAGAGTAAAGTTATCTCTATTAAGGAGAGGAAGTAAAATATGCCGATGTCAGGAAAGTACAGGAGTCCAAAACTTTCACAACGACAAACGACTACAGTAGGACATAAGCTATTTGAATTGATGCTTCACTGCCGTACAACCATGGTGATCTACGGAGAGAAGAATACCAAACGAGGAGAGAAAGTGGGTCCTTAAAAAGCAGGCCAATTTCATAAATGGTGTAAAGATCACCGGAATGGAACAGATCGACGGCACTTTAAATTGTGTGGACAATCGTGGTTACGGTGTTGATGCTAGTGAGGAATGACTTGCACGAGAAGCTAACAGGAAGATGACCTGCATCGGATTAAACAACAGGAATCGCGTGACGAACCGCCGACAGAACGTCGAAGCAACCCCGAGCATAGTCGAGCGGGTAGTGTGTACTGCCTGGTCGATGAAAATAGAGTATGGAGAGTGAGCGAATATAGCTGCATGTGGTACCCTACGAGAAAAGAGATGCACTCATAAACCAATCAATGACTGACAACCAGACCCGGTTCCATTTCTTAGAATTGGAGTAGGAAAGTCTAGTTCCTCATACCGTGAGGCGGAGAGTAACCACGTCAACTAGCAGCATTCAGGGTAATCAAAATGTGTCGATTTTGTAGTAAGGACAGCCAAAACTAGAGCTCACTGGAGCCGAAACGTAAGCGGAGTAGACAGCACGGACGATGGGGGAAGGCAACTTACACAGCGATGAAACTAAAAATGAGCACGACAAAGAGCCAACATCTCATGCTGTCCCTTCGCATGCTATCGCTGGCACCGGTGGCAAGGTGCAGGTATTGGCCTCCGAATTCGGAACAAATAGCCAAGTGAGAGCTTTACAATGAAGATTCGCAAGAGACAAATGTTGGGCCAGCTAGGAACACATCTATTAATGACAATACACAACCTGTGGTCTAATTTGCACATATCTCAGTTGTTGGTCAGATTAGCACCTACCGTGGCCAGTTACTGCAAGCATGGATGTTCGGGGGGATGGTATCAGGTAAAGAAAGAGGCAAGTGAAGACGGTCAAAGCACGTGGGAAATGGCAGTGATAAAAACACGCGGACTGTGTTGGTGACACGGTTGAATGTGTGACCGGTTCGCATGATAGGGGACGAAAATACACCAATCATCAGACGTTGCGCTCAAGTAGTTAAAACCCTCAGTGCGGGTATATGGTAGATGACTGATTTAGAACAATTAAACTTCGCGGTATGATAGTTGTGAGTCCCAACGGTGTGACACCACGGATAACAGTCAAAGTAGTGAAAGTGAGCAATCGATAGGTTAGAAGGCCTAAAAAGAGATAGAAAAGTTATGAAACTAGACACCTTCATTGTTGGTTAATCACCACCCGACGGAACAATCAGTGACGTTTGCACACGGGGCAAGCAGAGTCGATCTGCTGATGCTGAAGCAAAATGGTCTGCCGAGGAGCGAGAGGCGGTCACACCTAAAAGCACATGAAGAGTAGCATTCAACTTCAGATCAGCTGTGACAGAAAAGCAATCGTGACACCCAAACCAAATCATTCAACTGCGAGTATCTGATGCAGCACTATCAGGGGCGGTTGTGATCGGTTGCCAAATTAGAGTAAAAAATGAGGTGCAGGGTGAGATGTTAAGTGATACGTGAGATGTGAAAGTGCCAGGTGGACATGGTTATTTGTCTGGTGAGCCGCGGTGGAAAAACCAGTGCGTAAACGTACCAATATATCTTCTCGTCCACGATAACTATAGCGAGTAGAATGATGGAGATGAGATAAAACGAGCAATCTCTGACCAGCGGCCACCAATTTAGGTAAATGACCTGAAACAAAACAGGTATTACCATGAGGGTGGAGGAATGTGTTAGCCATATGGTAAGTGAGTTCAGGCAGATAGTGGTAAGGCACAGAAAAATGCAAGCTGTGTGAGTACATAAATGAGAAATGTGCAAATGAATTGTGACAAAAGTGTAGCAAGTGCTGTGACGAAATATGCTTCCGGTAAGTTGAAGCACACGCCTATGGAGAGAGAGAGTACAAAATTTAGCATTTATTGCGCTGTGTCACAATTTGACCAGGAACAATAAGAGAACCAGGCATACATCGCACGAGTCATGTGATATCCTGAATGGTGTGCCTGAATGGATGGAGGAATAAGTGACAGAATGAGCGTGTGCAACAATAAGACACAGACGACGCTGGGTGTAAGCAAATGACGCATTTGGCAAAGCTATTATTCATCTAGGAAGTAACCGGTAGTCGACGGATTGTATGCATTGAAGAGCCACTGATCTACGTTACATGCAATGCATATAATAACCCTAATTAGGCAGACGCGGGAAGCAAGCACTATCCGTCGTTTCGGTCTGTGAGCAACACACTTTAGCGGTAGTGCAGCAATAAAAGAAAAAAAGCTTTTTTATTCTCCGCACACCATTTTTGATCCCTTTCATTTGTCAGGCATTATACATCTGAATTTTAACATGCACACAGACCTACCACTAGTTTCGGTTGCACCATAACCTATTTTGTTTCCAGCATTCGGCACTCTTCGTCCTTTGGTCCCCAACTAGGCAGGCGTATGGATACAACGGAAACAGGACGTGAAGTCAACGATTTTATATGATGTCGCCAAGTGGACGGCTGACTGCCACGTGCTGTCTTCCAGCAAAGCCTAGCACGAGCGGAAAGGGCGCGATAGGGCAAACCCTCAGCTGACATACGCAGGACGTGACCGAGCCAACATAACCAACACCGCGAAACCAGCTTTTAAAGGGAAAACTCGAAGTTCCGAATTCGTCGCGTCTGACTTCACCGTTGCAAATGTGTTGTTGTCACTACACATGAGCGATCCTCATCAAGTACCCGTTGCCGAGGGCCGACAGCCCGCGCATGTCATCCACGCGAAATGGCCACAACTCACTTCTATATACCAACGCCGCCCCATTGGTGGAATCGTAAACACCACGCCTTACGAAGAGGGTGAGAGATCCCGTCGAATGCCACAAGTGATCCCTTGGTCCGGAGGCTGGATTAGTCATGATATGTTGGGAGGCAGAAACTTAACCACAATAATTATGAGATTTTTTACATGGGTATGATTAGGACAGTTATCTACTGCTAGAATAATGAAGCGTTTCTTCTTCATCATTTCTTTGTCGATAGTTCGGATTCACTCTTCAACTATAGCAGCAGTCATCCACGCAGATCGGTTTGATCTCCAGCTGACTGGAAGGTTTTCAGGCTTTAGGTTTTTGAGCGCACGTGGTCTAGCTGATTTACCAATGGCCAGAAGGTTTAGCTTCTCCCCGCTTGAGCTAGCGCACAACGGAACTGTGAAACGTTCTTTGGAATGTTTTTCACTCTTACATTTCTCACGCTTTACAACGGGGCTTCTGTTAGGCATCGCTTTGGAAAAAATGGCCGCACTAGTCAACGTTAAAAATGTTGTCATTGTTGAAGCTCTTGCTGAAACAGGAAACTTTTTGGATGAAGACTTGAACAAACTCTTCAGGCGCTTCATTAGATTCACCACTCTTTAGAAAAATTTCCTGTCGGAGTTTGCATTTATCTAGCCAACCATTGGATGCCTGGAAACGTGCAACCCCAAATTCTTGTAGTCCACTCTGTTCATGATAACAATGCTCTTTACCGTCTGGTTAGCGATGATGAGGTCTTACTCACTCAGCCAGATAAGGGCGCGGGCTACTTGAGCAAAATTAAAGAAATACTGGCAGATGAAACCAAGTTTCTGAGGGCCATAGGTGAGAAAGACAAAATAAAAAAGATATTGAAACACAACTTTGCAACTGTCTTAAAAAGCTTCGTAACGATGGTTACATCAACGAAGCCACTTATGAACAACTTCGGCCGGTAAGAACGGTTATTCCAAGGCTTTATGGGCTACCAAAAACTCACAGCCCTAACGTCCCCCTTCGTCCCGTCTTGGATATGGAAACATCCCCACATAACTCGATTGCTCGGTGGCTGGTTTTGATCCTTAAGCCTATTCGAGAGCGAATTGGTATGCACAGTGTGAAGGATAGTTTTGAGTTTGTGGATATCGTGCGTGATGTAAATGTTTCCAATCTAACCATGTGCTCCCTCGATGTGACTTCACTCTTCACCAACGTACCATTAGTTGAGACTATAAACTACATCTGTGAGTATGTTGATGCGAACCACATTAATGTTGACATACCCACGGTGATCCTAAAGGAACTATTGCTCAGATGCACGTTCAATGTTCTGTTTCTATTCAATGGTGAATTATACCGGCAGTGCGATGGGGTAGCGATCGGTTCCCCACTGGGTCCGTTCCTCGCCGACGTCTTCATGGGCATGCTGGAACAGGGAAAGCTAAATCCAACGATCTCAAGTCTCGGTTTATATTGCCGTTACGTAGACGACATTTTTGTCATTTCAGTCATCTCGAAGTATCGAGGAAGTAACAAACACGTTCAACCAAGGCCATCCAACAATAAAGTTCACCTGCGAAGTTGTGTAAAACAGTCGCTTACATTTTCTCGATGTCGCTAGGAAAAGCCTGCATGGGGGTGAGCTACATCACTGCGCCTAAAGGAAAAGTACGTGGAATGGGCAGTACACAAACCTACAGCTTTGTGCCACTTAGATTTAAACTGAACTTGATAAATACCCTAGTGAGCATGAACGACACGCCTCCGGAAGAATTGGAGTGCATTCGCTTAGTGCTAAGGGAGAATGGCTATCCGGAAAGCTTCATCAGAGTCAACATGGAACATAAGAGGAGAAAGCCTGTAGTTTTGACAGTAGAAGGTAAGCCAATATTTCTACAGCTGCCATACAAGGGCGAAGTTGCGATGGAAGTTCTATCTCGTCCTCTTTCGTTTGCACTCAGACGCACCTACCCAGCAGCGCAGATTCAAATCCAGTTCACTAGCATTTCGATGGTGAGACTAAACTCAAGGGATAAGAGGCCTGTCCACACCAAGTCAATGTGTATCTACTCATTTTCATGCTTCTGTGGAGCGGAATACATTGGTCGTACGACACGGCGTCTAGCTGAGAGAATGAAGGAACACCACCCAGTCGGGCTTAGAACTGGAAGCGGAAATACAGCGAACTCTTCCGTAGCGGCGCACCTAGCCGATACAGGGCACGCCACAAAGTTCACTGATTCGTTCAAAATTATCTATCAGACCCCACAGAACCGCTCGAATTGCGTCCGCAAGCGACTACTAGAATCCACTGAAGCAATTGCGATCCGGCTGCATGAACCGGAGCTATGTGTTCAGAAGAAGCTAACTAAAGCCTTGGGACTGCCCTGGCCCAAACGGCCGGTGACCTCTGACCCACGAGGTCACACGCGGTCGGTTGTCGTGGCTTAACAGACAGCGCTGTCAGCATCCAATTAACTCGCCCTAGTAGTAACGACTTGTAATGTCTGTCTGCACATTTTGATTTGTATATAATTGTATAAGCCTGAAGATGAATTACCGAAAACATGTTCGCTTACCCTGACTTCTAACGGTGCAGCAATCTAACAGGGCTCTATTCAGTGACGTGTACGTCCAGACGGACGGAGCAAGTCACAAAATGCCATGGAACGTCAGTTGGTGAGCTAGGCAGCAGTACGCCGTACCGACACTTCGTTGCAACGCAATCACCATCAGTCGCAATGGGATAAGGATATCGTGGGAACACACGATCTCCAACGTAGGCTCGAACCCACAACCTCCGGGTTGCAAGGTAGACGCCTTGGCGTTTCGGACACACTTACACAGATACCGTTCAAGTTTGTCAATAGATTGTCTTAAATTGAATACTAACTATTGCGCTCATGATTTCCCCTAACTTGGCAAATATAACTGTTAGGTGATCTAAAATCCCAAGCAAAATGTTAAAGGCATAAATTCCGCGCATAGGTATTCACATCATGGCAATTAATGATCAGAAAGCCATTCCAGACCAGGCCTAACCACAAGCATTAGCTGCGGATGGTACACAATGGTAAAGGACTGTCACTTGAACTGCAGTACACATCCGAACTCCGTCACTGAAGCACCCAAAGTACTTAAGAACCAGCTAACTTGGCGGTCGGTAGAGTAAAAGGATACCGACCAGGACGTTTTGTCACCATCGACAAATGAGATGAATCAAATAAATGCCAGCTGTAACGGACCTCAAGGTGTGGCGAAGGATATTAAGCGCATCTGAGTGGCGTGTACACGTCTGAAGTGCTCACCAGCACAAACGCAGTGTGTAATGTGATTTCATTGTACAGTAAAACCTCCACAGTTGACCACTTTTTCATAGCTTGAACGGTCACTACATAAACCCTAAGAAACCAGGCCTCTGTCTGTTGACCACATCTGTAAGTTGTATGTTGACCACTTGGGCTACGACAGTCAGTAACAATTCAACCTCCATAAGTTGACCATTTGAAGGCTTACCATCCAATGGTTCCCGAATGGCTCGTTTGTTCTGATAACACCGTGTGCAGCGTGACTGCTTTGTGTGGACTTCTGACCCCCAAATCAGTGAACTTTGTTTGAGAATGTGGAAGTTGTTGATGTGTATTTGTATGTGCGTGTTTGTCCCGGCCGTCAGCGCTTACGCGCACGGGTATTAACTAGATCAATGTCGGTTCCCCCAGAGATACGGGCCCAGGGAATTACCTACAACGATTTGTGTACAACCACCCTCACCTGTCCACATGCACAGGCAAGCCTACGTCCATCATCATCCATCACTCATCACAGCTAGCTTCCAAATCAGATAGTCGTCCACACGCCCGGAAAAGCACTAGACTGCAGTTTCAGCCTGCTGGGCATCATCAATA